CCACCAGACTGGAATTTTGAATAATAAAAGCGGATTTTTAATTCGGAATTTTTACTTAGTAGAATTATTATTTCTGTGTTGCCGAAGAGGGGGGGGCTGAACACATTTTGCAGAGAACACCTTTCTGCGTAGGCGGCCATCGGCCGCACTTAGGGATTATAACCCTCAGGCAGTAGAATTCTCCTTTCTGTTTTGCGAAGAAAAGGAGCTGAACACCTTTTGCAGAGAACAGCTATCTGCGTAGGCGGCCTTCGGCCGCACTTAGGGATTATAACCCTCAGGCAGTAGAATTCTCCTTTCTGTTTTGCGAAGAAAAGGAGCTGAACACCTTTTGCAGAGAACACCTTTCTGCGTAGGCGGCCTTCGGCCGCACTTAGGGATTATAACCCTCAGGCAATAGCTGAACATTTTCTTTTGTATTGATTTCCCCTATATTGTTTTGTACAATATGGCAACACATATTATGTGTCAGTTTGCAACCATGTGTTATTGTAAATATGCGTGAAATTCAATGTAATTTACAAGTCGATAAAAGTTTAATTAAAGTGATTTATATACAAGATAAACTAAAAGAAAAGTGTGTGAAGTATTAAGTAGTGTTATGTGCATTTATATATATAAAAGTATGCACAAATGCTTTTTTGTTAAGGAAACCAAGTGGAACGACTTAAGAAATTTTAACAACAAATAACTTATAAACAATGATATTATTTATATTTTTTAGTTATACATGTTTTAGAGGATACCTCCCTTAACATCCTGACCAAGTTTCATTTGTTAATTCCACCTGGTTTTCATAAAACACAAGGTGCGGCTGACTACTAAAGCCCACCCCAATTGACTTACTTTTTATCCATTATAGTACCACTTTCTTATGTAAATTTTATAAACGCAAACTCCAACGACTAAAAAACAGCAATAGAAGGATGAGCGATTAAAAAGTATTCACAGTCGCTAATTGAGCGACTAAGCGACACTCGCAATAGCATCGATAATCGATAACCGCTTAATAGTCGTTTATCTACTGCCAGTCGACATTCGCAATAGGGGTGTATACTTTTTGAAACTATTTGGAGTTAATTACTTTTTGTTGCTTAAAAGCAACCCTGCGTGCTTGGATGGCGTGTGTACCAATAATTTCATCCCTAGCATATTCATCCCCGAGGAAGGCAGTCGCCAAATTTACCGAAGGTTGTTTACTGGTTATATTTGGGGTGTTCACAGTTCGTTCCAAATAGTGGCCCGTAGTCATAGTCAAAATAAAGTCGACTTTAAAGTTAGTTGCAGCTTTTTTGACAGATATCCCATTGAAAATTATGTCAAAAAGTTGCAACTAACTTTAAAGTCGACTTTATTTTGACTATGACTACGGGCCAGTGTCTCAAAATGTAGACGTCTAATAGAAGTAAATAGAAATAGAGATTGCGCCAATCGCGGTACCGCTAATCCGCTCTTTGTGATTTTGACAGAATCAGCTGTGTGCGTGATGTCATCTTGGTGCAATTGTTGATTGTGAGCATACGAAAAAACCAAATAATTTAAATATTTGTGCGTTAATATTTCTGCGTGGTTTTAAACAATTACTGAGACATTACAAAGCAAAATGAAGTGTGCAGTATCAAAGTGTAATAGTGAAAACAAAAGGAAAGCGGCAAATTAAATTTTTTTTTTCGTTTCCTACGGACGCAAGCCTGGCGAAAAAGTGGAAGCAGTTCTGTCGGCGAGGAGATGTATTAAACACCAAATCGAGCTTTGTGCTATTTGGGTGAGCTATGAGCTTCTACATGGAACAGTGTTGGCCTTTCCTTGGTGAATTGTATTAGGTATATTTCCATAGTGAAAGTTGACAGTTGTTGGTTTAGTTTGCTGGCAATGGCATACATACAAACGCAGTTTCTACAGTAAATAGGTACATAAACTTCACTACCTACTTATTTTTGTTAGTACCTTATTCTTTTTAGTGCTGGTATGAGGTAATGCACCAGTGGATAAGGTCGCCAGGCGCTACGTCAAGCGGCATTTTACCGCGCTGTTACGTACCTAATACAAAACAGTGCCCAAATTATTATACATTTAAAAGTTCAGCTTAAATTATGTTTTACTCACATAGAATATTTGTTTCCAAAGAAGCCACACTCACCTCTCGGAAATGGAACAAAAGTCATCAAATAAAAGCTGTGGAGTTTATGGTGGTTGGCTACCGTCCACAAATATAAATATGCACCCTGCATGGCCTTTTACAATGGCGAGTCCAAAAATTCACTTTGCTGCACACCTTCCTTTTCGTCTACATGAAATTGCAAACACTGTTAATACATAAATTTTTTCATGTGTTAAAAATCGTACTTACCTAAAGGGCTACATGTCCAAAATTATTGCTACGTGTTCCTAATTAATCAATCTTTGTATATTTATTGATTCCTGCAAAATTGGGCCATGTAATATTAAAATTAACACATTTTTCTGCATTATTTACATATTTTTATATATGTTTTGGCATTTCTCTCGCAATTGCACCAAGATGACGTCACGCAAAAATTACGCTCAAAAATCCTCTCTCATTGGCGCAATCTTGTATTCTATCATTCTTGGTGTGCAACCATGGTTGAATCATCGGTTCTGTATTCACAATGTGCGTATACATATATAAGTGCGTGATAATTATAAAAACTTACTTAATTTACTAAAAACAAATCATAAATGTAAAAAATATGTTTACATTTCATTGTGCGGGGTTTTGATGCAACTATTTTGCCGAAGTGTGTACATAAATATAGTGTTTATTGTGTGAAATAGCGCCAAGAAGTTAGTTCAATTTACAAACTTTAACAACAAATAACTTAAAAACTATAAGCCTCCTGCGGCTAAAAGTATATATATTTGCAATCACGAGAACTCCTACCAACCCATAGCCACCTTTTTTTTGTACGCGGGGGATGCCAAACTAAAATTTTCCAATCGACGCGTTTTAATGCGCACAACAATGGCCCTTATTATGAGCTGTATTCGATTTTCGATCTTCGCTGGCTATCGAAGATCGAAAGTGAAATTCGTATTATGAGCTATGCAAGCGTGTCAAAATTTTCGTTGAGTATCGAATTTTCTGTCGGAACAGAATTTTGCTTTCGATGGTGTAGCGAAGTGTTAGAAAATTGTGAAACATGTATGATTTTGTATGTTTTCTTACATTTTGGCGGCTAGACACTAATTTTAAACAATTTTTATTAATTTCATGCAGTTCTAACATCGTGAATACTAAACACAAGCTCGAAAGGCTGGTTTTACTTGTGAAAGAAAATCCCAATACTCTGTTGGCACGGTCTCTGAGAACAAAATCGTAGCGCTGTTGATAGTTTTAAAATATTTTAAATAGATTTGGCTCACAAACGCCTCTTTAGATGGTCGGAACTTTTTAATGAATCCGTAGACAAATTTCTTAAATATATTTTATATCAAAATATATTCGAAAGGCTAATAAACTTAAACTCTCTTAAACATTTGCTACTCCTGGCCAGTTTACTAAGCTCTCATCCTCTGACGAATCGTTGAACCAGAACTCGTTGTACTCATTTTACCACGTTTTTATAAACTTGCTTTCTTTTTTACTTCATTTTAATTAGAACAAATTTACATAAATATGTATAAGCACACTATTTAGTTTGCTCGATTTGTAAACAAAGCTTCTCAGCGGTGAAAAATATACTATTGTGAACAACCTAAACGAGCGAAATTCACAATAGCGCTATTCTTCATCGAATGAACGCCATAATACCAAATGAAAATTCGTTCGCTCAGCACATTCGACCACAGTCGAAAATCGAACGCAACTCATAATAGGGGCCAATAATCCATCCATTTTTAATTCATTAAAGAGTTATTCGCAAAAAACACTTGCACTTTTCGCACTATGTTTTGATGAATTTGACGCAAATAAATGCGCTCAACTGAACACATATTCATTACTTTTTATACATTTGTGATGTTTTAAGTGTACACTTTCGCGAAATTCTGTATTTAATAGCAATTGGGGTGTTCACAGTTCGTTCCAAATAGTGTCTGAAAATGTAGACGTCTACATTTTAAGACGTTTTCTAACCGTAAAATCTGTGGTGTTGTTGTTTCCCATACAAAATTGGAAAACGACGCCGTCTACATTTTGTCACACTCAAAGGTATGTTTTTTACGCGTCTACATTTTGCAACCTCGCAGCAGGGTTGCATTATGGCAATACTAATCACATTTTTTTTATTTATTGGGCACGTTTTTTTGTATTTGCATTTAATTTGAGCGTAATTTCTGATGAAAAGAAACAAATCAAGGGAAAGAAATAACAAATATTAGGAATTGGTAATTAAGTTAAATAATTACAATTTTTCAGAAACAAAATCGAAAGGCGATATATAAAAAATGCACGCAAAGAGGAAATGTCTGGCAACACCAGCAAAGTTTTGAGACGATTTTGCGACGACTGCTAGAAAGGGGTGCTCACAGTTTGATGCTAGAGATGTCTCAAAATGTAGACGTCTATATTTTCAGACACAATTTGGAACGAACTGTGAACACCCCAAGTGTCAAAGTAAGTTTTTGCCTCGTTCTGATTGGCTGAAGGAGAAAATTTCTGATGCTGAATGGCAATGCCTCTTGTTCAATATACAAGTATATCCAGTAAAAAAACTGTGGTGAAGTCCTTTATGGGGATAAAGTTTCCAGAGGTGAAATTTTAGGTAGCATACAATTTCTTTCACGCATTGTTGCTTTTCAGCACCAACGCAAGAAACTTAAGAAATCATAAAAAAAAATATGCGTATAGTGCATTAATACCATATAATGTATATACTCTGATTAATAATATGAAACATGGATTAGAACCGCCGTTTAATGTTATATTTGTTGCAAATTAATTTTGCCACTCGGGACGCTCTGCGCATTGCCACTGAATAATAGGTGTACTTAAAATTACATCCCTGGTCCTTCTTTTTTCTGTATAGCATCGTGGTGAATTCACATTACTTAGACATTTTACAACAAAACAAAACGAAGTGAGTATTTTATTTGCTAATTTTTTCGATTTCTATTGTTTAATGTAAATTGTATGTCTTTTTAGGATATGTTGAGGCAAAAAAGAAGACGCAGTTGGAAAATGAAGTGATTAGTACGAAGTAGCAGCGCAGGCACATTTGGAAAATTATGCCGATAAGCAAGATAAAATTTGGGGAAGTAAGTGCCTGGTTGCAGCATCTCTATGTTATTAAAAAGTTAATTAATTAAATGAAATTGTGTTTAATAGAAATGTTATTAATCGAGTGGCCTTCTCAACGTGCTAAGTTACAAGTTAAGATGACTGCCACCACAGCCGGTAGGAAGCCCGAAGCAAAGGGCAAACAACCTTCTACGAAGCTGCCTGCTGTCCCCGAGTCGTAGCTGAAGTTCAGCAAGAAGCAGGTCAGCAAACGTGCTACCCTGATCAATCGTAAACTAAAGCGCTCTGCTATGATTGCACTCCGCAAACGTGAACACTTGTTGCATCTGAGAAATATCAAGCAAAATATCTCCGTGATGGACGCCGTGAGAATAAGTTGCGTCGCCTGGCAAAGAAACGCGGCTCATTCTAAGTGCCTGCGGAAGACAAATTGGCTTTTGTGATCTGTATCCGCGGTATCAACAAATTTGCATCAAAAGTGCGACAGTTTGTTCCTTTTTCGCCACATTAACCACGGTTTGTTCATCAAATTTAACCGTTAATATGCTACACATTGCCGAATCCTATATCACATGGGGTTATCCAAATCTTTAATCAGTTCGTGAATTGATCTACAAACGTGGAATTGTCAAGCACAACCATCAACGTGGCCCAATCTGTGACAACTTTGTGATCGAATGCAAATTGCACAAAGCGCACGATATTAAGTGCGTTGATTATTTAGCGCACGAAATATTCACTGTTGGATCCCACTTCAAGAAAACATCCAACTACCTGTGGCCATTCAAGCTCAACACCAACCGGTGTTGGTTGGTGTGAACGTTGAGGTTGATGATTTCGGTAACCGTGAAGATAAGATCAACAAACTGCATGCGCAAGATGGTTTAAAGAAATTTTTTGGTGTACTAGGTGGAGTATTTTTATTGCAAAAATATATAATATATAAAAAAAAGAAAATGTTTTTTTTTGTAACTTTCTGAAAGTTTATCCCACAATTATGTCAAATGGAAGGCAGCTTATATTGACGATTCCCTGAATAATGTCGCAATTCCATTGCCGTTTGTAAAGGCCATTTCAAAAGGCTCCATTCCACAAATTTAATTTGTTTTGGTTTTTCAGCTCATTAACGATGCACCCAGGATTGCATTTACCGTCTATGAAAATATTTCACGATCCAAAATTAGCTCCGAGCAACTAAAAGTTGGTTAAGCTTAAGTTAAATAGTTTTTATTAAATATTTATTCCTGGTATATTAAAAAAAAATCAAGTCAATATTAATGTATGAAATGAGGTAAATAAAAATCGAAGAATATATTTTTTGAATATTTTGTCATAGAGCCGTTATTAAATAAAGACATAACTGCGGCGGGTATTGGTCCTGACGTATATAGAATTAATGCATTAGAGAGAGATTATTATTCATGCTCAACGTGGTAATTTAGGTATACTTACATAAGTATGTATTTACCTGTTTTTTTTAGATTTATTTAGATTTATTTGTTTATTTAGATGCATATTTATCTAAATGTTATATCGTCGCCTAGATAAAAGATCGTTGCATGGTACTTTCGGCAGGTTTCGGGAAATCACAATTGAAGTTCGGAATGCAATTTCTCAGAAACTCGACTACATGTTTTCCCCAAAGTGTCGGAGAATGCTATGTACGAGTTCACGAAATTCTTAAATTATCTTATTTTTTAGTTTACTGTCAACCATTTATGAGGTTAATAAAATCTTGTCGAATACGCCAAATGTGATAACATTTTTTATAAATTAACGATACTTTACACTAATCAGCCTAATCGTGAGTCTCGCCCCAAAAAAAAATCGCCAGATATGTTTTCACCCACCCGTAGTGAATACACGGAAACGAAAAGGGAAAGATGGCCCGGTTCGAGAAAATGAAACTCGTGATAAGGCTGAATATGTCGGAAACAAAAGCAGATATTTAAAAACAGATGACGCTATTTGAAGGATCTTGATTAGTTTAGTACGACAGCATTACTAACGTATCCTAAGATATCCAAAAAACTTAAAAAAAGTGAAATATCTGATTTAAAAATATATAACTGCATATTTAACTAAAAACTGTCAAAATAACGCGCCGATATTTGAATGTTACTGGCATAATTTCGAGCCTGTATGTAAAATTTCGGAAAAATGTTAAGTATATTCATATGCTGAAAAGATATTTTCGCAGACTCACAGTTTATTTAAGGTATATCATCAACCTTATTTCCAATTCTATGAATAAATCGCTCCCATAACTTAATTTGTGCATTCAATATATTTCACAATTAACTTAAATACTAAATTACAAATATTTGTTCAACGACCTCGACACAGTAAAATAAAAAAAAAAAGTATTTATTAGAAAAATTATTATTTTTAATACATTTATATTTCACCTAAACCTGAGATGTTCAATCGCACTGCAATATTTTTGTATCCATTTTTCCAGTGCTAAAATAATTTTCACCACATAAAATTGCCGCACAACACCCTTTTTGACGAAAAAGCGTTGCTTGCAACACTAGTCCTTTATGGGGACCAAATTTGGTGGAAAAAAGTTGCTAAGCGATTTTTCAGGCAACTTTTAGTTGAAAGCAAAAATCGCCTCGTCCGAACGGCCTTTCAACTAATCGCTTTCAACAAAGTTGATCGCCAGCCAACTTTGAGCTCGTTCAACTTTTTTTCCTTGCAACCCTGTGTTTGTTTACATTCTGTATCAGTGTTGGGAAATGAAATTGTTCGTTCAGTACGAAACCTATACAAAAAATGTACTTTTCGGGTATAAATTGTATACACTTTTTAATTCGCTCATATATTTTCTTAGTAGATTCCCTTCAAGACCAATGATTTTATGGTATTCATGAGAAAGTTTTATTGTTTATGTACATACGTTTAGGTATTTTACACTTTTACAAATTGATTACACGTGCACATGTACTGCATTTAACGCAAATATGTATGCACACGTTTTCAGGTATACATCTTAACAAAAAGCATATTTAAGTTATTATCAATGGATAAAAGAGAAATTTTCTTTGGATTCAGTACTAAAATTTGACATTTTAATAGCATTTCAAGTGCTTATCAAAACTTTACGACATGATTTTACCATTTATCTTAATATTATTCAATTTTAACTATTTTTTGTAAAAATACGGTTTATATTTTAAGAAAAGCCGTACAAAGCCAACATTAAAACATTAAAAAAAACCAACACACTTTCGTAAAAATTTCGAGCTTTTTAATTCGATTTCCTAGATTTATATAATAATATAACTAAGTTTTTTAAGATTTCTTTGATTAAGGTGTTAGTAATTTTCTCCATATAAAAAAATCGTCGAACACACTTCGTATGGAAGAAAATGGCTGACATCGTCGACAAAAAATTTGCATGTTCAACGGTAAGTCCCAGCTACTTTAAACTTGCACTTTATTATACTAAAATTGAATGGGCTAAAAACTAAAGAATATTAATAAAGCTCGAAATTTTTACGAAAGTATGTTGGTTTTTGGATGTTTCGCAAAGGTTTAGTCTTGGGTTTATACAGTTTTTCTTAAAGAATACATTATATTTTGTAAACAGATAATTAAAATTAAAAAATAATAAAATAAATAGTAAAATCTTGTCAATATGTGAGTGCCGTAAAGGTATTATATTTAAGAAAATCTCTTCTTATAACTAACGAATACTTTGTTTCTATATGAAGCTGACTTCGACATTTTGTTTTAATAAAACATAGCATCGAAATGTTTCTTTAAAAATTTGCCTAGGCTATATTATACTGGTTCGTTCAAGCCATTTTTCAAAACTTACAAAGGTAAATACGAACAGGCGAACAAAAGAGAATACAAAAAATTTCTTGCTATGAATTTTCCGAGCTATATATTTTTAGTATTCATTACAATATTTTACTAAAAAGTACTGCGTAGTAGGAAAGTATTTGTAAATTAAATTGTATCAAACAAGTACAATTGTACCAAAAATGCCAACACTGTTCTGTATACACACTTTTTTTTCTTTTTTACTTTTTTCTCTTATTTTATCTTTCAGCTTCGCTAAAAGCACATCTACCAACGCTTGGCTTACCAAATTTACGCCAATGGATAAAATTTTGAGATTTAAATTCATTTTCAATAATGTAAATAACGACTCGTGTTGAATCGAAAATCGCCTCGTCTGAATAGGGATGGCAACTTTTTCACTTCCAACTTCGCATTCAACTTTTGTTGCCTGTAAAATCGCCTTGTGCGAATGCCCTATGAGTACTGAATCACATATCTCTCGGACTATTGATAGGACCAAAAAACGATAGGTTTGTATAATAACTTCTCCAGTAAAACATTGCAGCCAGAGCGTTAAAGCAAAATAGAGCGTAAAATTGACAAGAAGAGAAAACTAGCAGAAAAAGTTACTGAACGCAAAACTAGTAAAAACTTTCAAGAGAATAGTTGTTGCACCCTTTTGATATTCTGCTGTAAGCATTTTACTATCTATAAATCAGTTTTAAACTCTTTGCTGTACACACAAGCACTTACACAGTCTAGTACATCATTAATATTTTGATTTCCACTCATTTTACTTTTGTTTGTGCTAAACCTATTCAACATATGGCGGCTTTTGACATTTATTCTTCTTCTTCTTCTGCTAGCTAATTTCTGCTAGTAAAAATTCCACTAGCGAGAATTTGCAGCTCTCCCGCGTTATTACGCTCTCGATTCAGTGCTCTCGCAAATTTTTTGGGTTATCATACACTTTTCCAGTAAAAATTTGCAGGTTCCTATACAAATTAGTACTGACTATTGGTTACTATACAAACCTGTTGGTAGCGAAAAATAAAATAAAAATCGATATCATCGATAATAATATTCAAATTTTATTATGTTCGATACACAGTATATACAGTAATAAAACTTTTTTAGTACTCCTCGGGGGTAAAATCTGATCAGGGTTGAAAATGAGAAGGGCATGCATTTTGTTGATTCAGAGTTGTATACAAAATTACTGTGGTATGAAAGGGAGCAACAACCGTACTATGGCAGAGTAGCACAAGTCATGACTATGTAATAGTAGCCGAAACTAATTGGAAAAGTGTAAAAATATTGCAAATTATTGTCTATTATTATAGATACTCGTACAGATAGTTCATAGTTCAGTGTATAATAATTAATATTTCACCGTACATGATAATGAACTGTTAAATGCTGAAAACGCTTGTAACTTGTAGATCACTCAAACTTGGATGTGCTTAATGGACTGTCTGGGCGGATACGCTGGCAGGCATTGGGGTCTGTATAGCTATACAAACCTTGTTTTTTTTTTTATAAAGACTTAAATATATTCGTAAATTTAGAATTTGGCTTGAAAAATTCACAAAATTTACGCTTTTCATAAAAATATAATCTTACAATGGACTTTTTTTATTTTAAACTTACATTTAAGAAAACTCCATTCAATGCTATAATTACGATTTGAGTTTTCCAGTTTATAAAACAAGCGTTAATTACGTACTTAACTATTGATATTATTCTTTATTAAGCATGAATATCAGCATACATTAAAGATGAATATTATACTTCACCTACATTTTGTTCATAAATAACACATAATTATGTATATTTTATCCTTGAAATGAACTTTTTCTGATCATGACGCGAAATTCCCCACACTAAGTGTTGCCGTGCGCGCAAAACAAAAGCGCTGCACACAACCCAAAAGTACTCCTCGGGGATCAAATATTGAAAACTGCGAAAAGGTTTATTGCTGTATATTCTGTGGTTCGATAGTTTTGAACATATTGCGTACACGTTTTTGAATGATATTGAATAGTAATTGCGGAAATTAACATGATTGTGAGCACCGTGCGTGGAAATTTCAAGCCCCTGCTGGTACGTGTTTTTTGTTTTTAAAGAAGTAAGAATTTGAATGGGAAGTGCTCCTATTATGTTTTCACGGGAAAGGGTGGTAAATATCGGAATCACACCCGGAGCAAGTAAAGAATACGCACCGTGAAATGATTGTAACCATGATATAAAACGGGGTTTAGTGTACATCGACATGTGTGTGTTTTGACAAAACTAAAGCGAATTTTCTCATGAAACTTAACAAGGATGGTAATAGGGAATTTACATGATTCAACTTTCACAGGCGATTAGTTGAA